TCACAAGTAAGTTCTGGAAGGAGCTTATGGGACTGCTGGGGACCAAGCTTGCCATGTCTTCAGCATACCATGCCCATACTGACGGACAGACGGAGCGACTCAATCAGGTGGTTGAACAGTTACTGCGTACAGCTTGCAAAGACGACATCAGCCACTGGGATTCACAGTTACCGACACTTGAGTTCGCTTACAATAACGCGTCGCATGCGGCCACAGGGAAATCTCCATTCTTCCTGTGCTACGGACGGGAACCACTTACACCACAGCAGCCAACCACACCGGCACACGTCCAAGCCGCACACGACTTCGTCACCACCATGCAGCAGCTATGGGAGAAGACTCAGCGACGTCTCACCACGATGCAGAACTCCCAGAAGCAGTATTCTGATCGTCAGCGACGAGATCACTCAGTAGCAGTCGGAGATCAGGTGCTTCTTGACACGCGCAACTTGAACCTGTCTCACCTACCATCCAAACTCCGGCCTCGCTTCTGTGGTCCTTTTCTCGTGGAGGCACAGGTGACACCAGTTACATTCTGCTTGCGCTTACCAGATACGTGGAAGCTTCACAATGCTTTCCATGTTCAGCTACTGAAACCCTACAAGGACCCCAACCACCAGTTCCAGGGACGGCAGCTACCGCCACCTCCACCTGTTCTTGTGCAGGATGAACCCGAGTACGAGATCGAGCGCGTTCTCACTCATCGGCGCCGCGGCGGCAAGACCCTCGAGTTCCTGATACGCTGGAAGGGATACGACCCCACTGAGGACAGTTGGGTTGCAGAAGCTGATATGGGCAACGCACGCCGTGCTCTCAAGGACTATCTTGTCAAGCAGGGTGTATCTCACGCCACCCAGCTTTGAGGGGGGGACGTGTGAGAGTACGACGGCTTATGCCAGCTATGCATGCTTTCTTTTATCTTATTACGCTATTGCTAGCTTAGGTTTATTTTATGCATGCATGAATTGCTTGATTTCCTAGGCTAGGTGCTTTCCTATATTTTATTATAGTTATAGCACCGAGCTAGGTTGCGTACACCGAATTCTGGGCTATTCGGTTGCCACCGAATTGCCTTCTACCGAATTCAGGAAGGGTCTGTTCGGGACGCTTCGCGACCCCCAGAACCTTCGCGTAACACCTGGTTACTGCCCCTTGTGTCGAGCCTATATATAGCCTCGTGTTGTACCCACGTGATCAATCAATTCAAACTCCCAGGTACCTCGATCCTAGATCCTCACAAGGATGTAACGAAAGACCAGTAGAAGACGGGAGGCTGAGAACCTGACGAAGTACAGTGTCAGGCGGTGGCTGAGACGACGTAGTCGGGGGAGCGAAGAACAGTCGCGGGGGTGCAGTGCCACCAGCACCAGCAGCTCCAGTACCTCCAGCAGCTCCAGAACTCCCAGCGCCAGCACCTCCAGGACCAGCTCCACCAGCAGCAGCACCCCCAGACCCAGGGTCTCCAGCCTCAGTGTCTCCAGCAGTAGCACCCGCAGGCTCAGCACCTCCAGCCCCAGCAGCTCCAGTACCTCCAGTACAAGCACCTCCGGGACCAGCAACTCCAGCACCTCCAGTAGACAAAGGACCAGTACCACTCCCAGCTCCAGCAACGTCAGCAGCAGCACCTCCAGCGGCAGAACTCCGAGCTCCAGAAGCGCGACCCTGACGGCGACCGTACCAGTCGTGGAGCTGCTGTGACGTGAGAGGCACACGCGGACGAAGGCGGCTATTCCAAGGGGACCGCGCAACAGCAGACTCAGAACCCTCAGCGCCAGCACCCGCAGCAGCTCCAGAACCTCCAGCGCCAGCACCCGTAGCAGCTCCAGAACCTCCAGCGCCAGCACCCTCAGCAGCTCCAGAACCTCCAGCTCCAGCGCCACCAGCGCCAGCACCTCCAGCAGCTCCAGAACCTCCAGCGCGAGCACCCTCAACAGCTCCAGAACCTCCAGCTCCAGCGCCACCAGCGCCAGCACCTCCAGCAGCTCCAGAACCTCCAGCGCCAGCACCCCCAGCAGCTCCAGCACCTCCAGCAGCCCAAGAACCTCCAGCGTCAGCACCGGCAGCAGCTCCAGAACCTCCAGCAGAAACAACTCCAGTAGCAGAGTCACAAGCTCCAGCGCCTCCAGCAGCAGGGCCCCTAGCTCCAGCAGCGCGACCCTGACGGCCAACGTACCACTCACGCAGCTGCTGTGGGGAGAGAGGGAGTAGACGACGAGAGTGCAGCGGCGAGACACCAGCGGAGCGACTACGGAGACGGCCGCTCCAGGGAGACTGCTCACCAGACGCCTCAGCGCCCCCAGGTGCAGCACCCTTAGACTCAGTACCCCCAAGCTCAGCACCCCCAGACTCCTCACACCCAGGCTCAGCACCTCCAGGCTCCGCACCCTCAGGCTCAGCACCCCCAGGCTCAGCACCCCCAGGCTCCGCACCCCCAGAAGTAGCACCCCGAGCAGGACCACCCTCAGCAGGACCTGAGTCACCAGTGACCTCAACCGGCACAGTCAAGGGAGGAGGGTCTACCTGAGACACACCTGAAGGAGCAGGACCGGGAGCGGGGAGGGGGTCTACCTGGGGAGCACCTGGAGCGAGGAAGAGCGGCGGGGGGGGGGAGAGGGGCAGTGCGGTAGGGGAAGAGACGGTAAAAGGCCTGCTTGCAATCTGGCTTGATTAAAGTTTACACATTATTGTCCAAGGTGTAGATTGTAGTAGCGCATAAAAAGGGGTGGTGATTTTCGAGACTGGATCTGACATACGCGTGACTTCCCCGAGATGGAACTGCTTTCATGTTCGGCGCATACGAGGTACATTTTCGACGAGGCACATGCACCGAACTTAGTAGCCCAATTTCGAGTTGTATAATTGCGTTTAGGCGATGGAATTTGGGCAATTTTCGAATTCGACCATCCTTGCATGCACTCGAACTCGAAATCACTGACATCCACGTGGCGACTCAAAGGATAACTCTTGAAATTTGCGTGGGGAGGATGGTTATTGGTCGAAATCTGTCGCTGACGCATTTTCAGAGTGCAGTACAACTTGAGATTGTGCCCATACGAGGGGCTTTTAGATCGTGGGTCAGTACGGGTTTCATGGCTAAGGGTGGCACTGCCATTGTTAAATGCAACCTTTTTGTCGCCACAACCATGTAGGGTCAAATGTTTGAACATGACCTCAAAGTTCAGGCTCAGGTCGGAGGGGGGCGGGTATAAATGTCCAACGGAGGTCATTTTTCCATTTTACATCTCTTTCAGTTTTTGTCCAACTTCTTCCTTAGATCCCAGCCTCCCTGTTTCCTCCTTTTCGTCAATGGAGCCTTCGATGGAAGTAGAGGCTGCTGGCTTGCGTGTGCGCCTCTCTCGTTTAGAGTTTGAGAACATGCGACACAAGCGTGGGGAATGGACCGAGAATATGCTCAACTTTGTTATGGTGTAAGATGCCCTCGTAGTATTGATTCTCGGCTAGAGATGTCACGTTTCGAGATTTACAGGCTCTCTGTCACGTATAGAGTACAAGTAGCGATCGAGCGAAAAACGCTCTAGGCGCCCCAACGTCTTACCCATATTCCGAGAAGTAGTTTCCTCTATTCTACTGCCCAACAGAGGCGATCGGTTCTCGAAAGGCGCTTAGATCTCTATTTCGAGAAATATTTCCGCGAATACGGATGTGTTGTGTTGCGCTGCTCTGATCTCTGAAAGCTCCTTGTGTTGTCTCTTGCAGGAAGATTGCAAAGGAGAGGCTGACCGCGGAGCAGCTTTCGAAAATGGAAATCATCCCCATGAGTACAGTAAATGTGGCCAGGGCGAAACAACCTTTCGAACCCATGGGTCCTGGCAGACTCGATGGTGTGCTTGGCAAGCAACTCGTCGTCTTTCCGCTGTGGTCAAGGTAAGCTCGAATTTCATAGGTTACGGTGTCAATATTTATTGCTCTGAACATACAGCGGCTGTTCGAGCTTTTACGCGCTGGCTAACCTTTCACTCCACCGCCCCATGCAGCATGACTACCGAACCTGGAGCGCGCTGCAGCCTTTTCTTGCTTGTCCGGCCCGACAGTCTGGCCGACCACCCGAATGTTCCGGTTGCGACGCGTCTTCTGCATTTCGACCCCAAATCGAATTCTCCACCACACAAGCACGGCGACCTCGCCCTACAAGTTGTCAAGTAAGATTTAGCTACTGTCGCTCGTCACATGTGCTTGATGACGGTACGGCAGATCAGAGCCTAATTTTGTCGAAACCCCACATGTTGAGCAGATGGCTGGAGGTGCAGCTCTTGACGGAGTATTCTAGAGGAGAAGCAATCAATGGAGACTCGGAGGTGCACGAAACATTCCGCGACATCAGGAGACGGATTACGAGCGGGTGGAGGCTCGACAGTGCGTCAGTAAGTTTACGGTGCAAACTCATATTTTACATTGGAACTCTAAACATGACAAGAGCTAACCTGCTCCATTTCCCTTTCATGTAGAAGCTAACTCCAATGGTCTCCTCGAGGGAGGTCGGAAGCGGTTCTCATGTAGCGTACCAGTGATGTAAGGTGCTCGATCAGTTTGACTCGATTCTCTTACAGCATGATCGAGACGAGAAATTTAGGGTTCTCGGAAAACCACCCTACCGGCGAGAGGATATATTCAAGGACATAGTGACCAGCTGCGAAAAGTATTTTAAGCGACTGGAGGCTGGTGATGAGGAGAGTGCGGGAGAGTTGCACAACCTGGGGCACGTCGGGGACGCTGCTGAGGACACGGGTGCCCCGCCCTTTATTGATGCGGAAAGAGTCGCATTGGGGGCCATGGTTGCCGACGGCGCACGAATGGGTCTGGCCAACGAGCGTCAGAGCGTAACGGATGAGCGTCAGATGATGGATAGAGAGGAGGAACCGTTTCAGAGGAGTGCGCGCGAGATCTTGCGTGGAATGAGGGAGGCGCAGCAGAGGGAACCAGAGGATAAGGCCGAGCGTTGCGGATCGAATGCCCTACAACAGAGGGGGGAGGGGGAGAGGATGGAGGAGTTAGTAATGGGTATTGAGGCAGTGCAGCTCTCGGTCGAGAATGATGAACTAGAGCAGGGGCAGGGTACGGACATGAGGCAGGGGAGTCCGAATGTCGTAGGCGAATCGGAGGAGGTGCAGAGAGCGGAACGTGAGAATAGGGTGGTGTATCAGAGGCGGGAGGCAAGAACAAAGACGAAGTATGATCAGGGGCGGGAAGCACGCGAGGGGGAAGAGGCGAATCAGAGGGTGGAACAGAAGCGGGTGAGACTCGAGGACCAGGAGCGAGAGGTGAGTTCGATGGAGGGGGAGAGGGAGAGGGAGGAAGAAAATGTGAGGGAGAAAGAGAGGAAGGTCGAGCGCGAAAAGGAGGACTTGCGGCAGAGGGAAGAAGACGAGAGGAAGAGCGAGGAGGCGAGGAAGGTGGAGCGCGAAAAGGAGGAAAAGCGGCAGAGGGAGGAGGAAGAGCGGAAGAGGGAGGAGAAAAAGGCTGAGCGCGAACAGGAGGAAAAGCGGCAGCTGGTGGAGGAAGAGCGGAAGAGGGAGGAGGAGAAAAAGGCTGAGCGCGAACAGGAGGAAAAGCGGCAGAGGGAGGAGGAAGAGCGGAAGAGGGAGGAGGAAAAGGCTGAGCGCGAACGGGAGGAAAAGCGGCAGAGGGAGGTGGAAGAGCGGAAGAGGGAGGAGAAAAAGGCTGAGCCCGAACAGGAGGAAAAGCGGCAGAGGGAGGAGGAAGAGCGGAAGAGGGAGGAGGAGAAAAAGGCTGAGCACGAACAGGAGGAAAAGCGGCAGAGGGAGGTGGAAGAGCGGAAGAAGGAGGAGGAGAAAAAGGCTGAGCGCGAACGGGAGGAAACGCGGCAGAGGGAGGTGGAAGAGCGGAAGAGGGAGGAGAAAAAGGCTGAGCGCGAACAGGAGGAAAAGCGGCAGAGGGAGGAGGAAGAGCGGAAGAGGGAGGAGGAGAAAAGGGCTGAGCGCGAACTGGAGGAAAAGCGGCAGAGGGAGGAGGAAGAGCGGAAGAGGGAGGAGGAGAAAAAGGCTGAGCGCGAACGGGAGGAAAAGCGGCAGAGGGAGGTGAAAGAGCGGAAGAGGGAGGAAGAGAAGGCTGAGCGCGAAAAGGAGGAGAAATGGCAGGAGGATGAGCGGAAGAGGGAGGAAGAGACCAAGCTGGAGCATGAAAAGGAGGAGAAACGGCAGAGGGAGGATGAAGAACGGAAGAGGGAGGAGAAGGCAGAGCACGAACAGGAGGAGAAGCGGCAGAGGGAGGAGGAAGAGCGACATAGGGAGGAGAAGGCTGAGCGCGAAGAGGAGGAGAAACGGCAGAGGGAGGATGAGCGGAAGAGGGAGGATGAGCGGAAGAGGGAGGAAGCGACGAAGATGGAGCGCGAAAAGGAGGAGAAGCGGCAGAGGGAGGATGAAGAACGGAAGAGGGAAGACAAAGCAGAGCGCGAATAGGAGGAGAAGCGGCAGAGGAAGGAGGAAGAGCGGAACAGGGAGGATGAGCGGAAGAGGGAGGAAGCGACGAAGGTGGAGCGCGAAAACGAGGAGAAGCGGCAGAAGGAGGATGAAGAGCGGAAGAGGGAGGAGAAGGCTGAGCGCGAACAGGAGGAGAAGCGGCAGAGGGAGGAGGGAGAGCGGAACAAGGAGAAGGCTGAGCGCGAAAAGGATGAGAAACGGCAGGAGGATGAGCGGAAGAGGGAGGATGAGCGGAAGGGGGAGGAAGCGACGAAGATGGAGCGCGAAAAGGAGATGGAGCGCGAAAAGGAGATGAAGCGGCAGAGGGAGGATGAAGAACGGAAGAGGGAAAAGACGGCAGAGCGCGAACAGGAGGAGAAGCGGCAGAGGGAGGAGGAAGAGCGGAACAGGGAGGAGAAGGCTGAGCGCGAAAAGGAGGAGAAACGGCAGAGGGAGGACGAGCGGAAGAGGGAGGATGAGCGGAAGAGGGAGGAAGCGACGAAGGTGGAGCGTGAAAACGAGGAGAAGCGGCAGAAGGAGGATGAATGGCGGAAGAGGGAGGAGAAGGCTGAGGCAAACAGGAGGAGAAGCGGCAGAGGGAGGAGGAAGAGCGGAACAGGGAGGAGAAAAAGACAGAGCGCGAACAGGAGGAGAAGCGGCAGAGGGAGGTGGAGAGCGGAAGAGGGAGGAGGAAAGAAAGGCTGAGCGCGAAAAGGAGAAGCGTCGAAGGGAGGAGGCGCAGAAGAGGGAGGAGAAGCAGAAGGCTGAGCGCGAACAGGAGGACAAGAGGCAGAGAGAGGAAGAGCGGAACAGGGAGGAGGAGAAAAAGGCAGAGCGTGAACAGGAGGAAAAGCGGCGGAGAGAGGACGAACGGGAGCGGAAGAGGCTGGAGGCGAAGGATCAAGAAACGCGCGAAAAGGAGGCGAGGGTGGAGGATCGAGAGCGACAGAGGCTGGTGGTCGAGACCGAGGAGCAAGAAGCGCGCGAAAGGGAGGAACCGCGGCAGAGGCAGGAACGGGAACGGAAGAGAATCGAAAGCGAACGCAGAAGGAAAGAGCTTCAAAGGCTTGAGCGCGAGAGGCAACTGGCCAAACAGACGGAGGAAGCCGGTGAGCATCAGGGTGTGGAGCGTCAGAGGGATCGACGTATAGAGAATGAGCGGCGTGGGATAGGGGGCACTACACAGAGGCACGAAAGGCAGAGAGAGGTTGCTGGGTTGAATGAACAAGGTGCTGGGGGGCAGCGGCGTGGGGATGGAACTCGATGGCCATAGGGGCGCGAGGGTCTTTCAAGCGCATTTGGGGCTGGATGCAGGGGAAGGAGCTCGGCAAGTGGTGGTTGGCGACCACCCAACCGAGGGGCATCAGGGGACTACTGTTGGTCGGGCAGCGGATGTTGGTTACAGACAGGTAATACAGCGGGAAGGTGGCCGGCGTGATGTTCAAGCAGCTCGAAACAGGGTCGGCGAGGGAGACCGTAGGAGGGTCGAGCAGTCAAGGCAAGCTGGTAGGCGAGAGGGTGAAGCACGTGGAACGTGGCAGGGTGAGAGAATGGTGGAGGATCAGGTCTGGCGTGGGGTGGGATGGGGAATGGAGGGAGTGCGACACAGGGAGAATGCGGGAGGACGGGTGGACGAGGAACTAGAGAGTGCGGCGAGTGCGCTCCCTATGCAGAGGCATCATCCACGAGCAGCGGAGAATCCTGCTGCGGTGCATGCAGAGGAACTAGAGGATGGTGAATGGGTGGCTGTGGAGACGGAACTGGCGGGACTGGAGAATGCGGGGCCCCAGGTTTTCGAGGAGACGGAGCGAGGGTTTGAGGAGGCTGGCGACCGCATCGCAGCTGGCGGCAGGGTGCGTACCACAGCAGAGCTAATGCGGCGTTTGACGTTGGTGGCAAGGTCCGTGGCCAGGACTTCGTCGGAGCAACGTGTTCGTTTCAGCGACTGCATGGCAGAGATTCGCGAGTATGGGTTGCCGATGCAGGGTTGGGACATGCGCTACTTCCAGGACTACGATGATCTAACACACGAGTACCACGAGCTCAAGGCCTCAGCCTTGAACGCAACGAGAACGCAACGAGCTAAACCAATTGCGTACTGCTGTTTCGACGTCTGTCGCCGAAGCACGAGCGGCAGCAGCTGATGCGGGTCGCGCAGCTGCAGCAGCGGCTGTGGGAGCATTGCAGGAAAAGTTAGAGGGTTTTTTCGAGAACTTAGGGGTGAAGCTGAAGAGTGTGGTTGAGCAGGTGATAGAGCAATCGTCGCTGGAGGCCACGATCACATCCAGCTCCATGGAACACCTGCAAGCAGCTATTGACAACAGTGTATACACAGTGTGGGAGGATCTCAAAACTGCCGACGACCAGAACAATCTGACTTTCACCAAGATTCAGAAGGCCCTGGCTGGACTGTCAACAAAGCTCAAAGGGCTGACTGCACCTATCAAGGTCCGAAAACCACCCACCGCCAGAGCAGAGGCCACACCAAGGCCTTCGCGAACGCAGCCCGAAGCAGATTCCCCTGACATGTTAATCTCCACAGCACGAGTCATGGAAAGGTTTGCCGCGACGTCCGAGGGTGAGGCGGGTGACGCTGGTGAGGCGGGTGAGACGGGCGCTGGTGTGGCAGATATTGACTTGTCTGAACCAGTGAGGAGAAACTGGAGAGAGACGTACGCAGCAAAGAAAGTGCAGAAAGAGAAGGAGAAGGAGAGCGTGGAGAGGAGGACGGCTGAAGCGAGGAAGCAGCAAGCACTTCAGACGGCGCAAGCGGCGGCTGCAAAGAAGAGGCGGGCTAAGAGCGGGTTGGGAAATACGAGGGTGGAGGACCGGCCTGGGACTGTTAGCAGCGGGAGAGTGACGGAAAACCAACCGACGGGTACAGCCGCCGAGGCAAGGAGGGTGGAACGCGAAAAGGAGGATAAGCGGCGGAGAGAGGAGCAAAACAAGGAGGAGGCGAGGAAGGCGGAACGCGAAAAGGAGGAGAAGCGGCAGAAGGAGGAGGAGCGGAAGAGGGAGGAGGCGAGGAAGGCGGAACGCGAAAAGGAGGAGAATCGGCAGGAGGAGGCGAGGAAGGCGGAACGCGAAAAGGAGAAGCGGCAGAAGGAGGAGCGGAGAAAGGAGGAGGCGAGGAAGGCGGAACGCGAAAAGGAGGAGAAGCGGCAGAAGGAGGAGGAGGAGCGGAAGAGGGAGGAGGCGAGGAAGGCGGAACGCGAAAAGGAGGAGAAGCGGCAGAAGGAGGAGGAGGAGCGGAAGAGGGAGGAGGCGAGGAAGGCGGAACGCGAAAAGGAGGAGAAGCGGCAGAAGGAGGAGGAGGAGCGGAAGAGGGAGGAGGCGAGGAAGGCGGAATGCGGAAAGGAGGAGAAGCGGCAGAAGGAGGAGGAGGAGCGGAAGAGGGAGGAGGCGAGGAAGGCGGAACGCGAAAAGGAGGAGAAGCGGCAGAAGGAGGAGGAGGAGCGGAAGAGGGAGGAGGCGAGGAAGGCGGAACGCGAAAAGGAGGAGAAGCGGCAGAAGGAGGAGGAGGAGCGGAAGAGGGAGGAGGCGAGGAAGGCGGAACGCGAAAAGGAGAAGCGTCAGGAAGAGAGGAAGAGCGGAAGAGGGAGGAGGCGAGGGCGGAACGCGAGGAGGAGAAGCGGCAGGAGGAGGCGAGGGCGATGGAAAGGAGGCGGGCACAAAGGGAGGCGGAGTTAGAAGTTAAGCGTCAGCAGATTGCAAAGATCGCTGAAACAAAGCGGTTGGAGGCAGCAAAGCGAAAAAGAGACCTCGAAATAGAGCGTCAGAAAGCCATGGAGGAGATCGAGCGTATTGCACGGTTGGAGGAAGCCGCAAAGGAGGAAGAGGAGAGGCAACAAATGGAGTTAGAGGCAGAAACAGAGAAAATGGAAAACGAGAGGCGACGGATTGCGGGTGAGGATGAGGAAGGGGCAGCGGAGCAACGGCACGGAGGAGAGGCGGAAGGAGAAGGGTGGGTCGGGATTCTTCAAGTGGTTCCCGAAGAACCACTGCAAGTAGTGGACCTCGTGGAGGAGCGGGAAGCTTCAGTACAACTAACAGGCCATGGAGTTTTAGAGACTCAACCGCCATCGAAAAGGTCACGCATTGACCAGGCGGGAACGAACTTCGACGCGGATGAGGGGTCTTTGGGGACAGCTGCGTCAGAGGAATGTGTCGGTGAAAATGTGTCGGGAAATCAGAACGTTCAACCAACGCTGGGGGAGGCGACGGGAGAGGTGGCACCACGAAGAACGGATGCGCTACCAGACGAGCTAGGGAAGCGGTGGGGGGAAACAAGGCATTTCAGATCAAGTGGTCTTACCACACGCGAAAAGAAGAACAAGAAGGGGGAAGTGGTGTCCGTGCGCTACAACTCGGAGCAAACCGTCGGAGGTGTGAAGAGGAACATGGGGAGCTTCAAGGAGAGGAAGCTGCGCGATTTCACAGTGGCCGTCTGTTGGATGACCTACTTCCCCGACACCGACATGGCCCATTACGGCTTGGATCCTGCCGAGCTTGGCTTGTGGGCGGTCCACCTCGATTTCGCTCGTGACCTCCCGACGGGTGTCTGGAGTGTCATGAACGAATTGAACCTCGACAAGTTCGAGAAGTGAGTATTCGATTCGACTTAGCAAGTTTTAGTACATTTTCCCGTTTTCCCACACTAACCGTGTACCCACCTCGCCTGTGCAGCTTCGAAAACGTCATGAACAAGACACATGCACGGGTGAACGACGGCGCGCATTTCCAGGTGGCCGTTTGCACAGGGATTGGACAGGTTCTGGTACACGGAGGGAGTGGGCTGGTGTCGCCCCCCGCGAATGTCACTCCCGCGGTCTATGCAGCGGGAGTAGCTGCAACCCTCTACACCTTGTGGTGTGCCTCGATCGGCATTCCCCACCCGGACTGGGCGGAGGGTGCGGATGAGGCGGCTCGTGGCACTCTCAACGAGGCAAGCCTTGCGAGTCGAGCAACCTCTACTGCTCGGCTTGGATTGTGGACTTTAAAAGCCGTGAAGAACCTAACGCACGAGAAGGCGGATTGGGAAGTGGTGCTCACCAAGGCCATTCTCGGCCTTGTGGATCCCGAGCCCGGGGAGGCAGAGGCTATTGAAATGGCCAAGGTGGTTTCGAGGGTGCTGGTGTACTGGTGGGAGTGCTGTCACGCAAACCAGAGTCTTTACGCGTATCAGGGTGGGATGCTCCATTTTCCCCAGCCCACAAAAGGGGGACGGCGGAAGGGGAATGCGGGAGGCAAAGAGTGATCCAGTAGGGGGAGGGTAGTTTCGAGTTTGCTGCAGCTCTGTACTATAGTCTGTCGCATGTTGTAGTTTTCGAGTCTTCCATTTCCAGCTTGTAAATACAGTTCGGTTACTTCGGACTATAGAGCTCTGTACTGTTTTGGCCCCTTGATAGAGCCCTATACAATATTGTCTCTGATACTTTGTTTCCGATACATTGTTTGTCAACGTCTCAAATTGTTCTCAAATCCAATTGTTTCGCTCGAACACAATCCTCCGCAGACCATGGGGAATAATAGTCCGACATGCCAGTACTCTAAACACTGTTTAGGTTTCCGAAGTGGCTTAGAAGGTGCTGGTGTACTGGTGCGGGTGCTCTCTGCCGGCGCAGTTTACGCATATCAGAAATGCTGCATCTTGTCCAGCCTTAATGGGGTGGACAAAGACGGCGAATGCGGGTATAAAATTCCAAGGGTGCCAGCTTTATCTGTTGCATGCATTGCTCGAAAGCTTGGCGTGAAAATGGACTTCAATTCTCGAGGGTTAGAGGTCTGTACCATGGTGTTTTCTTGATTGCTTGTGTGATTGTTTTCCAGTAACTAACCTACTCAGGATTTCGCTCGTGAACATTAGGCGTGACGCGAGTGCAACCCTAAGTCTTCTCTTGCTTCGGATATATCTGTGGCATGCTTTGATGATCGACACATTCCCATGTTTTCGAGATATTCCCATTCTTAACATAGACGTTCCAATAACTTTAGTGTTACTCTAAAGGAGGATTTAGACTCTAGAACAGAAGAAAGGAAAGGTGGAGGGAAGTGCTCTCTGGCAGCGCAGTGATTTCTTTCTCGCTTGGCATCATAGTCTATAGCTAACTATGATTTTCGAGAGATTCCCAGGTTACACTGACTAGTGTGGCAGGTAACAATATACTCCAAAGTGAGTAAGCACTTTCGATATTTGTTCGCGTATTTTGTCTAAGCCGTCGCAGCACTGTTATCGACAAGCCGGTTTCGAACACGATCCTATTGGTATGATAGGCGAAGGTTACGATGTACGGAGGGTGTAAAATTTCTAATGGAACTACAGACGTCCCTATGACTATGACGTGACTCTAAAAGTTGATGTAGACCAGAGAAAATTAAAAAGAAGGAAAAGAGGTATCAACGTCATGAGAAGAGCAGAAATGAGGTCTAAGAACGGATGCTGGCAATGATAGATACGTGGAGTCGTAGGAAAACAGAGCGGAACCGATCACGTAAGGAAGTCTCAGTAGCGTGATCTACTTCTTCAGTTTAGCCAGCTTCTTTGGCTCGTCGATCTTGATCTGCTTCCAAACATCTTCCCCAAACATCTTCTCTCCCCACACGTCACCTTCCATCTGGGCGGCGAAGAGGAGGTACCCGACCTTGCGGCGCTTGTTCTCCGTCGTCTTATCCTTGCCGGGATTATCCCTCTTCGGAGGTGGCTCGTTTCCGAGAATCACGCCATCCGCCAGAGCGCTGATCGAACTCCGATCCACCACGTCCTTTTGGATCTTCGCAATGGCATCTCGGGTGGCCTCCTCCGATTTATTAGCCCTGTACTTCTCGACGGTGAGCATCACGTTCCTCATCCGCTTCATTTTTTTGTCGACAGTATCGTCCTTCACACCCTTCTCAATGTACGAGAAAGTGGGGTAGAAACTTTTTTCGGACGACAGCTGGCGGAGAGTCTTTTCGTCCATCAAAAATGTCACCTTCACCCAGTGTTCCCATGCCTCTGCGACCGTCTCCGAGTCCCGCCAGGGTTTAACGACAAGGTCAAAAAATGCCTGCATTGGAGTGGTGACTTGTGCCTTCTGGGGCTTCGGAGCCTCCCCACCAGCTTCCTCCATTGTCGACGAGCCCGTCCCTCGATCAGCAGCCTGTGCGTTCGCGCTGCTCCCTGCACGCGCCTTCAGAGCAGCCAGCTCCTCTTTGAGCTGCTTGTTTTCAGCGGCCGTCTTCTTCTCCCTCTCTTCGGTTTCAGCGAGCCTGTTCTTCAGCTCGCCGATCTCGTGATCCTTCTGACCACATTCCGTCCGGTACAGGTTGTTCTCCACCATGAGCTGCTGATACTTTCGGGATGAGTTCAGCTTGTAGATCGCATCCTGCGGGAAAACGGACGAGGGTTCTCAGGCAATGTCAGGTCTGTCGAAATGGAAGGGCCGATCAGAGAACTGTTGTACTTACAGCGGCTGCAGAGCTGCCTCTGGCTTCACGAAGTTCAATGCCAGCCTTGTGCATGATTGCCACTTTGATGGCCCATTTCTGAAACAGAGGGTGGCGGCAGAGCGGATTCATGTCCGTGTACGGGTGGCGCGGGCACTGGCATGGCCGTCTTGTACCGTCGAACAGATGGTCGTGATCAGGACAGTAGAACCACCACATGGCAAGGTCCTGTGCCACGATGTCTCGCCCAGGGTTTGCAAGAGCCTCCAAAAAACTTCTGCCAGAGTGGTGCGGCTTATCCGGATTGTCGCGGTTGTACTTATCGACCTGAGATGATAGAACAGAGAAGACATTCAGCTTTGCCAAGTGCAACAACATTAGACACTGCAAAAGGGTGGGTAATGAAGGGATACCTTAGCCAAATCAGATTCGAGGCGCGGGAAGATGAACAGCTTGAAGAGGTTTTGCAACTGTTCCCACTCGGTTGGATTGTCAAGTTTAGCGTGCGCTCTGCCAATGTAGTAATCTCCCGGCTCCCCACTGAATCCGGCCATCATCAAGACCGGCCAAAACGGAACTCCCACGACGTAGGATTTTCGCATCTCGCCCTGCTCCCAGCCGCCGAGAGCGTTGATGTCGGGGTCGGGACAGCGATCGTCACTCAGGCCTTGGGCTCCCGACCGGTGAAACGCATGGGTCTTTATGCTGATCCGCTAGGGCGGTTGAGCTACTTCGTTCATGACCCAATTAATCCAGTTGTTGTGAGTCACGTACGGAAGCTCTTCCTGCAGTTGTTCCCTTCCGTGCCTCAATGGGAAAAAAATGTGCTTCTTTGACCACTGAAGGGGGTCGCTGAAGTCCAGTGGCGGAATGATGTCCGCTCCGAATCGCAGTGGCACGAGGTCGTAGACGAAATGAATCCACAGAAAAAGACCACCAACACCGCAGAGCGCGAAGTTGATGTGCCGGGCCAAGAATTGGTGGGTCAGCCTGTTGGTCGCATTCGTCTTGGACTTTTGAGAGGCAAAAACCACAACAGGAAAATCCTTCTGGCGGTCGGGGACGGCCGTGCTGCTACGCGTGTGGCGGACAAACATGTTGGCGAATCGAAGAGCACGAATGCTGCATCCCCTCCCCAACATTTGGTGTGCGAGTTGAATCATCACCTGCACCGCAAAAGACCGCCAAAGACTTTCTGATAATGCAATCCTGGTTCTCTGGTAGCACAATTTGATTTCCCTCAGAAAGTGCTTCTCGTGCAGGTCCGCGTACTGCTCCGACGTGTAGCAATCGTCCAGAGAGTTTCGGTGCTGATCCTTGCCCTCCCTGCATAGACCCACATGGAACGTGCTTAGGCATCAAATTTTCGAGAATCTGTTTGGCCATGAAGTGTGTAAATACTCACGCAACCTGCTTGTCGTGCAGCTGTTTCAGCTTGAGCTTCATGTACTCCCGCGCTTCGCCGATGTACTCATCTGCTTGGGCCTTCGGGTAGTCGTAGAGTCGAGCTTCAAGTCTGCCCAGGAAGCCCAAAGCGCTCATCTTTGCCTTCATCATGCTCGGCGTACTAGGGATGGGCTCCTTTCCAGCCACCACTTCTTCGCCCCTCCGCATCATCTCGGCCTGCGCGGGGGTTTCCTCTGCCATGTACCGCAGGAACCTCTGAATCCTCCATCCAGTAACACGGGGTCCGTGGAGATAAACTTGATCCAAATCCACAGTTGACCACTCCGCCTTTTTGTCGTCCCCCAGATGGATTCCAACCTCGTCAGGCTCCAGCAGGCTCAGACGCTCCTCCGCCGGAACCTCAGTCTTGGGCAGCGTTGACATGAACATGATGACCCACCACTTGTAGTGCAGCCAATACAGGATGTAGTCTTTTCTGGTTTTCGCCGCGAGATAATCGAAAGGGATTTTTGCGCGGCGAATCCTGCTGGCCACGTCGGCCTGTTTTCGAACTGACTCGTGCGTAGCTGATGCTGGCCCATCTGCATTTCTCTGAGGCGCGGCCTGCGATGCTTGCCCCTCCGCATTTCCCTGTGGCGCAGCCTCTGGTTCTTGTCCCTCAGCATTTCCCGCGGGCGCAGCCGACGATCCGACACCATGTGCACTTCCATGTGGCGATGCCTGTGATTCTGGGCCGTTCACATTGCCAAGGGGCGTTTCCCCAAAAAGACTTCGCCGGGTGGCATTATCTTCAGAGGTTGGGCTTCGGCTAGCATTTTCCTCCCAATTCTCCTCAAACAACGCTCGGTGGGGGTCGTCGTCATCTTCCGCGAGATCAATGAACACCCCCCTCGAAATTTCGCCCCTCGGAATTCCGCCCTCGGCCACATTTCCCTCGACCCCGACTTCAGGGTTCGAGGCCGGAAATTCCTCCTGAGCATCCAGGAACACATCGCCCCCAACAGCTGCCTCGAATTCCGTATCCGCATCGCGGTCCCCGGTTAGATCAATCGGGGCATTGGGCAGTTGGCAGTCTGGAAGATCATGATACTCCTCATTGAGGTCGAGAGCTGCGCTAAGAAAATTACCCGTACCGCCTTCGCCCGCCATCACGGTGTACCTGTTTCAGAGGGCTGTATGCTTCACAGGTGCGCGAAACCTGTCCTGAAACGATTATTTTCGACATGCGAAATCTAAAACGCCTCGTCGGGAATTGGATGGACTGCCAGCAAGCCCAAGAGAATGTTGTGTTGAAAAGAGAATCGTGATCGGAGTTGTTACAGGGAAAATAAACTATGAATGTGACCCTTCTGAGTGGAGAACAATGATGATATGTAACGGATGTTCCATTCAGAGTTCTTTAGCATCTCTAAAATGCTCTCATTTTCCAGAGTACAAAAAATCCTACGCAGGCTCAACCCTCCGCGTGTGTGCAACTCTGAACGGAGCAATGTATCATGCCATGTTGGATTGAAGGTATGGAAGCAAGCAGGCTGATGTTTTCCCCTAAGATGTGTTAAATTTTGACGAAGGAATCAAGAAATGACACACAACAGAGAGCTATTTAAGCATTCTGGGACTCAGCCACATGAACATGAGCACCACAAACTGTGACTGCATCCCTTCTTCCCGCCACAGCTTCTCTAGATCTGGTCGCCAGACCCCAGATCTGGGGTTCTTCCCGCCTCTGACAGAGCACCCGATTGGCTGGCTCCTCCACAATGGCGTAACTCTGAGCCATACCCCTCCCGCAGAGAACGAGTAACTCTGCCACGTGGACCACGGTCGGCGCGCAAACGGAAACATGTTAATACACATTATTTTCAATATAGTTTAACATCAAGGGTTGTTCCTGTCAGAATGTTATTATTGTCTAGCCTGTAGTGGGGTGCTCTATAGCGAGTACAACCCAGTTAGGGTTTGCTATATGTACCCCAACTGCTGCTAGTGAAACCCCTCTCCTTTCAATCATTCTTGCCTAGTTCTTCTAACATGGTATCAGAGCAGGTCGACCCCCTTGGGTCGATCCTGTGGGTGGGCCCGCCACCTAACTGCTTCCGCTGCTATTCTGCTTCTCGCACGCCTCGGGCGCGCGCCGTCTTCTTCCTGCCGTGCGCTCAGGGCGTACGGCGGTTTTCTGCCCGCCGTGCGCCCCGAGGCGCGCGGCGGTTTCCTGCCCGTCGTGGCGCCCCCGGGGACCTGCGCGCTGCCCCCCGTCGTCCTCCTCCCGTCGCCTCGTCGCGGCGCCCTGGGGGCCCGCGCGTCCCCCCCCTCCCGTCGCCTCGTCGCGGCACCTTGGGGGCCCGCGCGCCGCCCCCTCCCGTCGCCTCGTCGCGGCGCCTAGGGGGCCCGCGCGCGGCCCCTCCCGTCGCCCGTCGAGCCGCCCTCGGGGGCCCGTGCGCGGCCCCCCTCCCGTCACCCGCCGTGGCGCCCTCGGGGGGCCCGCGCCCTGCTTCTTCGTGGCGCCCAAGAGCCACCCCGCTGCCTCCCTTTCCCTCCGTGCCCCGCCCCTGCTGTTTCCCGCGCTCCTGCCTGCGTTAGGGTTTGGGGGTGGCGGGCATGGGGGTGACCGGTGTGGGTAACCTGCGGCTCCTCCTCCTCCTCCGTCTCCCACTGCTGCAGCTGCCGCTGAGGGGGGTGGGTGTGTGGGAGCCGAGGGTTTAGGGTTTAAGGGGGGTGCCGTGGAAGTGGAGCTAGGGTGTCAGCAGGGGGTGTGTGAGAGGGGCGTGGGACGGTCGGGGGAGGTTGCGTGGAGGTAGCCGTCGTGACGCCAGCAGCGCCAGTAGTCCGGATGCCCTCGCGCGTTTCGGTAGCCCAGCGAGCCTGCTTCGCCAGTCGCCTGTGGGTCCGTTGCTCCTGTGTGTGCTCGTCGTAGCCGCAGAGCCAGATACTCCCGTAGTCCGGTGCCCTCGTGCGCTCGGTAGCCACTGTGCGCGCCGCTCCTGTTGCCCGTGTGTCTGCAGCTTCAGTCGGCGCCTTTCATCTTCTCGCCCTCACAGTTTCTCCTCCTCCTCACTTGCCCTCTATGATCACCTCTAGCTTTGCTTATAATTGTGAACTATTGCTATGCCTGCTCATTGTACTGATTACACCCCACTTTGGCTATGGGGGTGTGTCAGAATGTTATTATTGTCTAGCCTGTAGTGGGGTGCTCTATAGCGAGTACAACCCAGTTAGGGTTTGCTATATGTACCCCAACTGCTGCTAGTGAAACCCCTCTCCTTTCAATCATTCTTGCCTAGTTCTTCTAATAGTTCCCAGTTACGCGATTTCACAAAACAAAGCTTAAAATGGATATGCTTCTTTCAGGAAACAGTTAAAAGTACCATGTCGCGATCGAAAAATCCGAGAAAAATCCGTCTTCTTGTGGTACCAAAAGTTAATTGCGTTTCGGAATTCTGGTCTCGTTTGTACTTGAACCAAGAATTGTATGAGCAATTCGACTAGTAGCGTGTTTAAGGGTGTATAACGCACAGTCGTTTATCATTATGACACCAGAACAACTGTTGTTCGTGTTGATGTGTTAACGTAAATTGCTACTGGGTTGCCCAACTGCATTATAGGACTACTTTGTCCTCATCGAAAAAAAACAACCTATGAGTCTGTCTTTTAGCGATTGGCCGAGGTACATACGGCGTTTCAGAACACTGAACTAGGTGGACAATCGCGCAAACAACAAGCGCTCAAACTTGCGGAAGATGATGTAATCTAGTAAAACGTGTGCAGAAAAACAAATTCCACTGTAAACGAATGTCTAACACGGACCTCATTATCGAGTTTCTCAATAGTGGGGTTTTCACCAACTGGCTGCGACGTGTTCGCGCATATCACGTCGCAACCGTTTGCGCGAAATGTCGACGTCAACTGACGGCGACACATTGACGTTGGCGAGAGAACGTGCTTCGCCAGCTACATTGCACGCACGGATCTGCTCGGGCAGAGCACAGTTTCACGGGCAGGCAGAGCCTAGCCTTTGGGACGGTGGCGGTTGTCCTACTCGGCGCAAGCTTGCGCCGCTTCCGCTTGGGTCGAGTCCCAGCTCGACCCAAGCAGCTGGACCCACGTTTTTTCCCTGGCAAATCCGCTCGACCAGCGCCAAGAGCAATATAACTTCTCCGTGTCAGACACAAGGCTAGACACGAAGTTGAGGTTCGAAAACCACGAAGTGGCTCGTTTGTGGGGCGATTCAAGGTTAGGAAGAGACAAATTGGAGAGTAAGGGCTGATGACATGATGTCTCACACGGGATACGAATTACCCTATTATATACGGACAGATGACGTCATCACATGCCGCCCCGCCCGCCCTGGCACGAATGACATTCGAGGCAAAACGAAAAACCCGCAAAATCCCTCCGGGCCCCCAGAAATTCCCGGCTGACCCCACCAAAAAACCCTCCGAAACCCTCCGGTTCAATGTCGTATTCTTATGACCATATATATGTCAGCCGTAACAGTGGAAATTGACGGACATTCATCGAGCCCTGCTCGACGGACATTGGCCAATCGCCGTCGAGCACCGTGCACCCCCGACAACACTGGTTACACCAGTGGCAAGTCGCCGTCAACGTCGCTCACACGTTGGCGTTGACGGTCGACATGAGCGAAACGCATTTCGCAACCGGCCGACCGTCACGATCGATGGCGACGTCA